CGTCTGGTGCAGCGTCTGACCCTGACCCGTCGGCAGGGTCACGGCGCCTGCCTGTCGGCCTCCGACCTGGACCGGGTCACCATCTTTATCTCGGAGCTGTGCATCCGCGGCCTGCTGCCGCACGTGGAGCGCCAGATGCGGGCCCTCAGCGATGTCGTACGTCGCGCCTCGTGCCCGTAGCTGGCGATCAGTGGCTATCCCACGCGGTTTCTATCTGCTTTGTTCTGTTGAGCGATTCCTATTGCTCGAGACTTTCTTTTTCTATCTGACGCAGAGCGGCTCTCGCTCAGAGTGGTCCTTTTTGGGTCGATCGCGCGGATTTCGAGTGACGTTGATCTTCCCGTGATCACGTTCTGGCGATGACACCTGTCAGCGACTGGAGGGGGTTCATTGTCGCCTCCGTGTCTCATATGGCCGTCACCCGGGGCTCCTAGAGCCGTCATTGCCGCCGCCCCACGATGTCCTCCCCGGTCGTGTCTGTCCCTTTCGCCGAGAGCGCAAGTAGGTCCTATCGGCGCCGCGACCGCCCTCAGTGTCACCTCTGGGGCCCTCCGCCTCAGTGTCACCCTTCGGGCCTTCTCCGCCTCCTTGTCCCCTCGGACCTCTCCGCCTCAGTGTCACTGCTCGGGCCTCAGTGTCACCCCTCGGACCTTCTCCGCCTTAGTTTCACCCCTCGGGCCTTCTCCGCCCCAGTGTCCCGCCCGGGCCTTCTCCGCCTCAATGTCGCTCCTCGGGCCTTCTCTGCCTCAGTGCCACCCCTGGGACCTTCTCCGCCACAGTGTCACCCCTCGGGCCTTCTCCGCCTCAGTGTCACCCCTTGGGCCTTCTCCGCCTCAGTGTCACCCTTCGGGCCTTCTCCGCCTCAGTGCCACCCCTGGGGCCTTCTCCGCCTCTGTCACCGCTCGGGCCTCGGTGCCACCCCTCGGGCCTTCTCCGCCTCACTGTCACCGCTCGGGCCTCAGTGTCACCCCTCGGGCCTTCTCCGCCTCATTGTCACCCCTCGGGCCTTCCCCGCAGGTGAACAACAGGAAGGGTGTCAGTCGCTCCCTGCTCAGCGCCACCAAACGCTGGTTCGGCGGCAAACAGCCCGGCTCGAGCGCCGCAGCGCCGCCAACAGCGTCATGTGAGTGGTCGGACGGAACCCTGCTGACAGACACGTGTCAGGAGCGGGATAGAGGCGATAGAAAAGGTCTGCTGCCCCTCCCCCAGCCCCCCCCCCCTGCACCCAGTCATATTTTGAATGTTTGTATCTGGCTCTGGTTGCGCATGAATTGGCATGCTTTGTTGTGCTGAAACTGTTGGTCAGCTTGTATGGATGGGGCTGACCAGGCCTGTGTGTGTTTGTGTCTTCAGATACAGCCACGAAGCTCCTGAGATTCAGGTGCGGCGGCTCGGGGACCTGGCCTTCATGTTCGGCCACTATGACCTGGCCTACCAGGTAATCCGCCGGATATGGCCAGGGGCATTGCAATGATATCACAGTGCTGTGATGATGGCTACCATTTGACATGTGATTCTATGTGTCAGGCGGACGGCATTACTCGTGCTGTCACACAGTGAGGTCACGTCCTGTGTTCACAGGCGTATCACACAGCGAAACGCGACTTTAACGGCGACTCGCGTGGCTGCACTTCGCCGGCGCCGTAGAGATGGCAGCACTGTCGGTGTTTCTTCACGGCGCCCAGGGCAAGGCGTTCCCGCAGCATTACCTGGACCAAGCCGTCACCACCTACCTGGACACGTGCAGGTCGGCAGTCCCAGCGCCGTCGGCCGCCGCGCAGCTGACAGTTCGGTGCTGGGCCATATCAGTCAGATTTGGTTTGGTGAAGTTCTGAGTGGGTGCAATGTGCTGACTGGGGGAACTGAGTGGCGCGGCAAGGCTGGGCC